AACGCTTCGCCAGATGTAAAATGACATTGTGAAAACAGGCTTGTGATACAAAAGTAACCAAAATTGGAGATATATAATATCGAATTTAAAACCAATCCTGCTTGTCCTCACGGAGGAAATTAGGCACGGATACATGATATGGAAACCGATCCAATCGGGCACACCTGTACGGTATTACATATCACGTGTTATCGGCATAGAATGTTAATTTTGCCAGACATTGAAAGATCGGCCAATGGAATGCTCTACAAAACAACTGTCTGCTTTAGTAAGGCAGTTATCAGACACATTACTAAAACAGCTACCGTGGCAGTTACCAATTAAATACAGGTAACCCCTTATTAATAAAGGGCCATCACATCTACCTATTAAATTCAGGCAACTCTAAACTACTTAGGCAGATGCCGTGACGGCTGCTGTGGGCAATTGTACGGGGTGGATGGTTGTGGCGTTCACCCAGGCGGTTTCACACTAATCTTTGACTTATTCTACGTAGTCCAGTAATACGTCGCGCCGTCAAAGCTGCAGTTTAAGATTCTCAAACTTACTTACTAGCGGAGACAAATGTGAAATTTGGCACGTGCAAAAGAAAGAAAAGTATTCATGCGCACAAAATGCATTCACCCGTGAAGGTGCATAAGGAGTGTATACCTATTATTTAAACATTGTACCGAAACGTTGCATATTGTATTTTTTTTTCTGTACGCAAAGCTTTTTTTATTCATTTATCTATCTTTTTGGTTAGTATGAATTAACAACTTTTTGCATTTTGCGTTCTTCACAGGGATGGATTCTAGCTCAGACTAGTTCAGCCTTGCTGGATCTTCAGAGAATAACGTCCGTCACCCTAGACGAGTCTTCCCTATATATGACGTTCCTCAGCGTTGGGTTCGTTGTCGGTTCATTCATGTATGGAGTTGTCTGCAACCATGTCGACAAATATATCGTACAGTTTCTCGCCCTGACGCTCGCAGCTATTGTTCTGGCCGCCATTCCTTGGTGTCGCATCCATGTCGCCATGGTTACTGCACACGCCATCGTTGGGTTCTGTAACGGAATCATAGATTCAGGTAAACCGGCAGTTAGCTATAGGAAATACCACAACAGATTTATTTATTTAATGTCACAAATACATTTTTGACTGATAGTATTATATTGTAGGAGAGTTATTTCATGATAAGTAAAAGGTCACTCTCAGTTTAAACTCAGGTTTTTACTTACGTCCAACCAAAACATATGGAATTTTTGAAGACTAACACACATACCTAAGTCTAGTTTTGTTTGGTGTGCTTTGCTTACTGTTAGAGCCCTTATGCTTTAAAGACGAGCCAAGGTATGGCGGTGCAGGAAACAGGAGTACATGTAGAAAAACAACCGACCTGCGGCCAGTACATGGTGACCGCCTTACGTGGGCCTTGAACCCAGAACTCAGCTTAGGATCCATGAGAGGTTCCACTGTTGTTAATATTTAATATAGTAGAAAAAACAACGTAACCTTGGTTTAAGCCGTATCACTTCACTATTTGGTGACCAAATTCAGTGATTTGGTAATACGGTTGGCTCTTCTCCTGTCCTAGGGGAGTGCCAATTTAAGTTTGTGTAATCAATGTCCAAATACGAACCTTGTCATACGCTTTTAACAAAATTGTCAAAATGCATGTATCTGGGGCATACCTTCCTGTGAAAAGCTAGAAAACCATTCCAAAACGAACTTCTGATCTGTTCTAATGCGATGCACAACGATTGATTCCAAAATCGGTAAAACAATAATGCCGCAAATGTTTGAAGTTGGGAGGCGAATGGTAATTGCTGTATATTTGTAACTTCGATCACAATGTCGCGTTGTCCAGAAGCTTCGTATTTATAAATCAATAACTGCTGTTAAGGCATTCGCCTTAGGACTACTTGACGATTAACGGACCGTCCCAGACGTCGACGTCCAAGCGTAACGTCGTCCATCCGGAACCGTTCTAAATCGGCGACGGAAACAGCAAACAGCGTCATTGTTACATTTTAACAGCACATCGTTGTTGATATTTGTGTGTGTTTACTTCATTTAAATTTAATATTTGTTTTTATGAAATTTCCAGTGTATGATTTTCTGTTAAAAAATGATTTTCTAAAGATACAATATATTCATGCTGGAAAACAAAGTCCAGGTACATCTTTGTATCGTATATCACGTTGTTAAATTTGACAAAAAGAATTTTTCATATACTGATTAACAGAACAAATAGCTAAAATTATCACATTAACACGCACGACCTTCCACAAAATGGGCGGTTCCAACCACACCTTTGAATATATTTTATATACTTGGTATATAGATTTGGATAAACGTAATGGTCAGATAAGTTTTGCTGTGTATTATCAAATAAGCATATTGCAATTACTTAACAAAGAATACAGGAAACCAAGATTGTCTTAGATTTTTATCTGTGCTCTGATGAGAGTACTATAACCAATGAAAATACAGCATTGTTATTAATATATATATACATTTCCTCTGCATCCTTTCATTGCAATGCATTGAGAAGGCAAATGTTGTTATGAGACAATAGCAACTTTTGCTATTATAACGTCATCAATCTATATTGTGACGTCATCAATTTCACTGTTTTCAAGACTTAATTTGATGTTTAAAGAACTAATCGAAACACCTAAATAAAGCGTAATTACTCTATCAACATGTAAATATAAATAATGAATATTTTAGCAAATATTGTTATGGGCCTATAACACACATTTTTATTGCTGACAAACCTTCATAACGTCCTGCCAGGTTGTATTAAGTTTGTGATTAATAGCAATGTGTTTTATAGGACCATAACATCATTTGCTAAAACATTCATTGCTAAAATATATATCCTGTATGTTATAGTGGTAAATGCAGAGATGCTAGCCGTCTGGGGAAATGGTGGACGAAGTTTCATGCAGGCAATGTATTTCAGCGACTCGATTGGTGGAGTTATCTCCCCTATTGTGACAGCCCAGTTTTTGTCCTTCCGGAAACTATATCAGCATAATATGCCGGATCACTCAACTGCCAATGATGGAAACAATGCCACTTTAATAACAATGCCTACTACTGATTTGTATATCGAACATACCAATACTCTCAACAAAAGTGGAACCTTTTTATTTAACGTCACTGAACGTGACTTGCATATGCCTATATCTTTCTATCATTCATCTCAGCTATATATTGCGTATATAATATCGGCCTGTGTTTGTATATTTGTTGCAATGGCCTTCCTGCTTATGTTCTTCACTTTCAATCGTGACATTTACTCTGATAGAGCTGTAACGGAAATGACGTCATCGAAAAATATTTCAAAATATAGAAAGATAATTATCCTTATCAACATGGGTTTAATGGCTTGCATATACACCGCAATAGAAGAATCGTTTTCTGGGTTTCTGCCAGCCTTTTGCATTTCCCAGTTAAATTGGTCTATGTCGAACGCTTCCTACGTCCTATCTGTATTTTATAGTTGTATTGGGCTTGGGAGACTGGTAGGCGTCTTCTGGGCCTCATACTTGAATCCAAAGAATATCCTTGGTGTGCTGTGTTTACTGATTTCAGTGACGCTCACTATCATACTGTGGTGTGGTCTACACCATTCCGATATCGGTATATGGCTGTCAGTGGCATTCATAGGCTTTTTCTTCGCAGTCATTCTTCCTACGGTCTTCACATGGACGGAAGAAGATTTTTTCCCGGTTACTGGACACATTTCATCGTATCTTAATATCGCAGCTAATTGCGGTGCCACTATTAACCCTGTTGTTATTGGAACGCTGATGGAAAACTGTTCACCGATGTGGTTCACTTACATTTTCCTGATCGAGTCTTTTGTATTGCTGATGACATATGTTATTGGAATATTGCTCTCACGACATAACAGAGCAAATCAGAATGAGAACGCTTACCAGGAAATGAAATAGACTGATACGTGGCGACGTCACATGGTCTACAGATGATATTTACACAGCTTAAACAGGTTATGTACTAAAATATCGCTATTCAAAGACTGCATATGAGAGATTGTTTAATCAATTCCACTAAATTTTGAACTATCCAGGAGTCAACAGAAACCGGCCATGTAAAGTAGTAATTCAAAGTTTTATACCAATGAATGTGACTAACTTTAGTTATCTTTTAGGTTTATTTCGTAGATCTGTTGAGTATTTTGTCGCGGGTTGTTTCAAAAAACATTTTGTATAACACATTTTAACCTGCTGAATTAAGGCGTGGTTACCTATGAAATATAAATTGCCACAACATGTACAATGTGTATGAAACAAGCAACCGCAACTGCTATCCATCAAACATATTTAATTAATTTAATTTTTAACTTTTTTTTTTTTTTTGTCTTTCTCAAGCCTTCAAAATTGAAAATAATACTTCTCCTGAGACGTTTAAAAACGACATCCGTCCCGAATGAAAATTATCCTAGCTACGTTCGTGGTGTACCTGGCCTGCTAGAAACTTCTTCATGTGTCATAACAAATAGCGTTCCTATGCAAACCAATGCGTCTAGCAACAGCATTTTTGACAACACTAACATGAATCACTCCGACCACATTGTTGCCGACATTTTCACTCCGCTAAAGCTTACCAAAAATATCCACCATCCAAAAATATATTGACTTTTGTTTGTTTGTCCTGTATGTAAAGAGTCACAGATATCGGTCAAGCTTGTTACTTGTTAGCAGCAAAAAATGCAAGATTTGGCAAACAAAATGCACATTGGCTAAAAATAACGCATTCACCAAAGAAGGTTGGTATGTTATTTGTGTAAACCTTGATGTTGAAAACATTATTATAGGTATATTTTGTTATTATGTACACACAGTTTCTTTTTTGCTGTTCGTATGTTTTGTTTATTTTCTATCTGTATTTTCTCATACAAACTTTTGAAACTATTTTTTCAAATGTATAGTCATGCCGAAAATACATTTTCCAACGCATATTTAAAGATTTTGGCAGTGGTACCAGGATCCTTAACCGGGCACTGACTCAGGCATGATTCAATCTGGAAACAGTGTTTCGCGTTTAAACTGGAATGCATTGTATAAGGCCTTTGTTCCATCACTAAATAATTCAGTATTATAAGAGGATATTAGTATTTCTGAATTATCACTTTAGCACTTTAACATTTTAGTTTTATGATAGACTGTCCATGAAACTCACTCCTCAACATTTGTTGAATCCCCCCCCCCCAAGACTATTATATTATTTAATAATTCCCAAGCTGAAACCCAAATAAAGTTGAACTTTCTATTTGACCTTTCATGAGTACATGAATTTGTATTTAAATTAATTTTTCTAACAATATTCTATGTAAAAAAAGAGCAACAGGACATTTTATGTAAAGATATCATTATTCGAAACATGTAACAAACGAAGCTGTCAAAATATTTGATATTTCCTGATTTAGGACCTAGCGGTTTTTTTCCTCGTCAGTAAAATGCTTTCTTGATTGCAGTGACGATGTACTTTAAACATTGAAATTTTCCGTTCATTGCATGTAAAACTATACATATTCAAGATCAAATGGCAGAAATAATTCTGTTTCCAAGTGGTATAGACAAATGTTACATTAGTTGTCCTGCATCGGGTGCCCTATGATAATGAGGAGATTGTATATTTGTTTCTATATTACCAAATATCCATAATTAACTTTTAAGAAATATAATACACCATTCAGAAATTCTATAAACGTTCTGCTTATTCAATATACACCACAAACTAATAAACCGCTTGAATTATCTGAGTTGTCAGCATGCCAGGCTATTATTTAGCCGTAACTGAAAGTTTTATGTTCCTCCAAATTCAAGTTTTTTGCAGCATATAACTTCTTTTTGTGTGCGTCTGATTTTTATTAGATAAAATTAAAGCAAAATCATTATTTCGTTTGACTGTATAGCCTAGTCTGTCGTTAATTACATATTAAATGCATTAGAAATATTTTCAATTGCTGATTGTTTTTATAATTTCCCTGAAACATTACCACACTGGTCTATCAAAACAAAATAGCATCAGATGAACACAGTTATAACGGTAAAAGTGAGCTCCGAGTAAAAATGGACAGGGGAAATCTAACAAGAATGGTAACAATGGCATAACTCGTTTCAAACTAGGGCCGCGGTGGCCGAATGGTTAAGGCGTCTGACAGTCTACGATCAAAACGATAAATAGCCCTCAACCAATCAATGGAGAGTTTCTCGTCGGGCTATACGGTTTTCCCCCACTGCCATATCATGTCACGTCCTTAAAGAACTTAGATGTTAATGATGTCGTAATGCACACACACACAAAACCAAAGGTTCCAGAGTGCATTTTTAATCGATAACAAATAATATCCGTTCAACAGCTATACCGTAAAGCAACATGTGTCCGTATTTTGTGTTAAAGGGGATATTTCGTCAAATGACACCCTAAAAATCGAATAGATACTGAAATANCACCCTCTGGTTGAGATATCTCTGTCTATATCACACAGGAGTGATATATTCTATTAATCTCCTAACAAAAGCGATACGTTACTATCATGACAAGATCGGAAGCAAACGTCATGTGTGATCAATTTCATCTTTCGGGAAAGCTGGTGATAAAAAGCTACGAACGGAATAGCGCAATATCCGGGCCTTTCAGTGGAAATAAACATGTACAAGACTACGCTGTCGACCGACAACAAAGTTTCAGATATGAATCTGAGTTCACACATTATTGAATTTACACAGTACTATAAATATCATACTATATACTTCTAATGAGATATCTCTGTTCATATTTGCATTTGAATAAAGACGAACAGGTTCAATTAGAGCATGCACGCACTAAAAGTAGGGAGAATTTCAAACCGCAGAGAGTATGATATCAATAGTAAAAAAGATCACTCATTTATAATGGTGTTTAAGATGTTGATCGAGGATAGTTTTTATCCAGAAGAAATGCATTTATTTGTATTCTAGAGAGGCTAGGCGAATAAAGCGAGAAGTTACCTACTCTCCTCGACTGGAAAGACATTTTTGTTAGCTAGAAATTCACCGACAGCTGCCGCTAAAACGTACGGCTTTACAGTTAAGGATTCCTCCATAACTACTCATAAGGAGTATCAAACTATATAATTATAAAGAATTTTGTGACAGAATGTAAAAAAATACTAAATTGTTCCTTTAATATCTACGAAATGAAGGGTTTTATCATAGCTATATACAAAATAGTGCAAATCGGTTTATATGTACAAGTAAATTGATAACCATTTTACGCAGGAATGCCTGAAATAGGGTTTACGCCTATTTTGCCATTTCAAGGCAGTGTGCATCTGTGTGTGTAGGTTATGTTTGTACTTTGAACGGTTATATTGCGTTGTATCATAAGAGATTAATGTGTTGAGTGTAGGTTACATTTAATTGTATTGTAGGATATTATTGAGTTGAGTGTAGGTTATATTGCATTGTATTATAAGAGCGTTATGTGTTGAGTGTAGGTTATATTGCATTGTATCATAAAAGATTAATGTGTTGAGTGTAGGTTATATTGCATTGTATCATAAGAGAGTTATGTGTGGTATGTAGGTTATATTGCTTTGTCTTATAAGAGATTAGTAAGTTGAGTGTAGGTTATATTGCTTTGTATCATAAGAGAGTTATGTGTTAAGTGTTGGTAATATTGCTTTGTATCATAAGAGAGTTATGTGTTGTGTGTAGGCTATATTGCATTGTATCATAACAGATTAATGTGTTGAGTGTAGGTTATATTGCATTGTATCATAACAGATTAATGTGTTGAGTGTATGTTATATTTCAATGTATCATAAGAGATTTTTTTGTTGAGTGTAGGTTATATCGCGGTTTATCGTAAGATATTAATATGTTGAGTGTACGGTGATATTGCTTTGTATCAAAAGAGAGGTATGTGTTGAGTGTAGGTTATATTGCTTTGTATCATAAGAGAGTAATG